TTAAACCCTACACCCTAAACCCTAATTAAACCCTGAAGCCCTAAACCCTAAACTCCTAAACTCCTAAACCCCCAAACCCAAAACCCAAAACCCTAAACCCCAAACCCCAAACCCAAAATCCAAAACCTTAAACCCTAAACCCCAAACGCCAAACCCGAAACCCTAAACCCTAAACCCTAAACCCCAAACGCCAAACCCGAAACCCTAAACCCTAAACCCTAAACCATGAGCTCCACAGCACCCTGCACTAAGAGCCGGGGTGAAGGATTTCGGACTCAAGGGGCCCTAGTCCCTAAGACCTGAAACCTCAAAGATTTCGGAGTTTGGGGCGATCCTCAACCCTAAAGCCTAAAGCCTCAAAGATTTCGGAATTTGGGGGGCGATATTGAGCCCTAAACCCTAAACCTCGGAGTTTGGGGCGATATTGAACCCTGAAACCCTAAACCCTAAACCCTAAACCCTAAACCCTAAACCCTAAACCCTAAAACCCTAGACCCTAAAAGCGTGTTAGGTCAAGGTTCTTTCTCTGACAATTCAGTCCGTTCGCGTGCAGGAGCTTTGGATGCTGGGGTTGGGGGGGGGGGAGGGGGGTGTGTAGGGTTTAAAGTTTAGGGTTTTGGGTTTAGGGTTTAGGGTTTTGGGTTTAGAGTTGAGGGTTTAGGGTTTAGGGTTTACAGTAGGGCTGAGGTTCTGTGTTTTGGAGTTCAGGGTTCTGAAGGTGCGGATTTTTTGAGTTTAGTATGGGACTTTGGATTTAAGTGTTTTGGGTGTTTTGGGTTTGGACATAAAGGTGTTGGAGTGTAGTGTTTTAGAGGGTAGGTTTGCAGAGCTTTCTGTTCGGGGTTTGGGGGCTTTGGGATTTCTGAGTCTTTGGTTTAGTCATGTTTAGTCAGTGGCTTGGGGCTGTTATTTGGGACGGATAGATGGTCAAGCTCGGGTGCACTTTGAGTGTGTCCTTCTTCTGGATAACACCCAAATTATGTCGTAAACCCAGAAACTCTAAAAATCGTACACCCGAAGCGCTTAAGCCCTACTGCAATATCTGCAGGTTGCTGTTACAACTGCTGACGGCTGACGGAGAAGGGCCTTTCATCGCTACCCGAAAGCCCTAAACTGGAAAGCCTTAAACGCTACCCTAAACCCTGAACCTGCACACCCTTAAAAAATCTTGAAATATAATAAGGGTTTAGGGTTTAGGGTTTAGGACATCGAAGATAAGTATACTAGTCTAAATACTCCGAAGCAGCCGGACGCTCCTCTCAGGTCTCTTAGCCTCCGGATCCTTAAGCGCTCTGGCCGAACCTCGGCACAATGCCTCAGCAGGCGCTTGCTGTTTCAGGCTGTTTCAGGGCTTATAAACCAGGTAAACTGGGGTCTTCTACGCACATACGGGTGGTTGTCAAAATTATGGTCCCTTTTTGGGTCCTTATTATAATACGGCACCTATTATTTAGGGTACCCCAAAAGGGACCATAATTTTGACAACTACCCATATGTGTAAAATATAGGGGCCTACATAATTGCATTACCTACATTATTTTGGGGGTTCCTTATTGTAATTACAGTATAATGGGCCCCAACACTCTGTTCTAACTATTAAGGCCCCTCCATAATGCACGTAGGTAGATGTAGATGCACAGAGATCGGTGTCCATGTTCTTACGGGATCTGTGATCGATGCTTCCTTGGACCAATTTCTTTCCGATGGCATCACATACCGACCGGGGCAAACAGCCCAGCTGAGATGCCACCAGTACATGGTTTTGCAAAGCATGAGCACGCCAAAGCTACGTTCGCGTGCCCTGCGTCTCTTCAGAAAAGAGGGTTGTTGAGGCTTGTGATAGCTCAGGTCTCTAGTGCCACATGCCTATTTCCATGCACGCACACAGGACCAAGTACAAAAGATAAGACCTACTCCTACTCCTGCTCCTTCGCTCCGCTACTACTTCTGCGCCTCTGTTGCTACTACGTTTGTTATTACCACTACGACTACTACTACTACTACTACTACTACTACTACCACTACAACTACTACTACCACTACAACTACTACTACTACTACTACTACTACTACTACTGCTACTGCTACTGCTACTACTACTACTACTACTACTACTACTACTACTAATTACCACTACTACTACT